TTTAAAATATAATAAAATAATAAGTTTAAATATAATATTATACTTTTAATTTTAAATAATAATTTTATTATTTATAAAACTTAAAATATTATTAAATATTTTTTTTTAAAAATATTTAAACGTTTTATTAATTTTTATTCATAAATAATATAACGTAATAATTTAATGTTTAATTGTTTTTATTCATAGTTTTTTTATTAATTACGTTAGTTATTTATTTTAATATAAAAAAAGTTTAAACTTTTTATTATTATAAAAGTTTCTTTTTTAAATTAACTTAAATTTCATTATATTTTATAGTTTTAAAAAAACAATGTTAATATATTTTAACTTTAATTCATTATTATAAAATTATATAATAAAGGTTATATAACTTTAATATTATTTGTTAATTTTTATTAATAAAATTAATATTTTATAAAAAATATTAAAGATTTTTTTAATTTAATAATATATAAAATTACACGGTGAGGTGCGAAGTTATTTTCGTATTAAAACCGGATTAAATTAAAATTAAAGTATGTAAATTATAATTTTTTAAGTATTTATAAGGTTTTATTTTAATTATTATAAAGTTTTTTTTAAAAATATAAAAGTTTAATAAAAAAAACTTTTAAAAAATAAAATATATTTATAATTAAAAAATATTTATAATTAAAGTTTTATATTTTAAAATATTTATTTATAATAGTTTTATATAATTAAAATATATAAATAATACTTTTTAAATAATTAATTAATTTTTATTAACATTTCATAAACTTTATAAAAAAGTTTATTTATTTTTTATTTTATTTTATAATATATTTAATAGTTAAAAAATAATTATTTTATTAATAAAGATATAATTTATAACTTATTATACAAATAATATCAAAATCTTAATAATAAATTTAATAAAAGATTTTATTTTTTCATTAATTAATAAAAAAAACATTTAATTATTATTTATTATATAATAAACGTTAATTTTAAGTTTCTTTTAATTGTTACGATCCAAAGATACGACCACCGGAAGAAGTAATAATCCGAAGGTCACGTGACTGAAACGATGAATCGACGAACTCACCATTAGTTCCCATCGATTCATTCCTCTACCAGCGAAGGAGAGTTAATATATAAAGAATCGAAATTTCCTATTGTATTTAGTTTTAGTTCTTCAGCTTTCAATCTAAGTATTCAGACCGCACTTGAATATAGAGTCCCAGGAAATCTCTTTTACGAACAGAATCGTCAACCCTACAGTATTGTTACCTTAAAACCAAGTTCCCCAGGGTACGTATCCGCTCTACGAAGTCAGTTAGACAGAGGTAGTAGACGGGTTCGTAACAATATTAAATATTAAACAATTTTATAATATATTATATATAATAATAATTTAATCATTAATTATTATATAATAATAACTTTAAAATTAATTTAATTAATTAAAACGTATATTAATTATATTATTATATATATTATTTTTATAAAAAACCTTAATTACATAAAAGTGGTTAAAAAACACGGTTTACGTGTTTCGGAACAACGTCGTTCCTTAATTAAGTAGCCTTAACCATTTGACAACCTTCGAAACTTAAGCACGTGTCCGTTTTCTCATAAAACGTGATAAAACAATCACATTCCTTTTTCTCTTAACATCATGTGCGGGGAAATAAGTTTGTAACTTCGTACTTTACCTTGTATTTCTAGTCTAGCGGCATTGTAATGTCTTGTAAGTTATAACCCGCTCTCAGCCACTCCTTCCTTCATATGGGAGAGGGGGAACCATGACCAGCATAGGAGATAGGACTATGCCTTGCATATCGGGAGTATATCCTTGACGCCTATCAGCAACCCTTGGATGGCTAGTGGTGCATAATACCACAGAAAAGCCGGCGAGAAAGCATGGTGTTCTCAATACGGAAGGCGGTTGTTGTCATGAACGACGCCGAAGCTCAAATAAGCTTAATCAAGCTCATCCCGATGATCTAACTCGTGGCTCACTGCTGCTCACTGTTGCTTGGCACTCATTCATTGTGCGTGGCTTGTCTTGGACGAAGCTTGGTCACCTCTGCTACCTGCTGTCATTGGTCGTCTTATCACGATGAATGCTCCGTGCTTAATTTCGTTGCACCTGAGTAAATCCGAACCCCTGGAACTATACCACCCCAACCCAGGAGGTGCGCTCTCAGGTTGGGGTAGTACTACCGACCCTTATTCCGTATATCCTCTCATTGAACAGACGAAAGTGGACTCTCTTCTCGCCAACAAATAGAAGACTTAAGCTTGACCAAGCTCTTTCTAGGAGGTGAAGCTGTGATCGGCACTCGTTGTGCGGCCAGACTGGCAGACTGGCCGCCTAGGGCAGGGAATACTGTCGTCGACTTGCGTCCCTTACCCTTTCTATGACTCCCTTCCAACCTCACATGAGTTATTCACATGCCTCTGGCTGCTGGCAAGCCTGTCTGACAGCCAGATACTCTCTCTGGCAAGGATCTGCCATCATGAATAATACCGTGGCTTCGTATTCAAGCTCTCGATGCTTCAGTTCTGGCCGAGGTGCTGCTACGGAATAATATAAAAAGACCGGTTCTGCCTTGTATTGGAAGCCTACGTTCTCGTCCCCATACTGCTTAGATATAAGTAAAACTTCGCCTTTGACCACTACTACACTTGGAGTGTCGTTTTCATCCATCACTTAAAATGCGTACAGCTACTGCTCTTGCCTTGCTGCCTCTGGCACTTGCTGCACCGCCCTCCAGAAGGGATGCCCCCGCCCGGGTGGTCAAGCCTCGGGGAGCTCAGCTAGTCGATGGTAAATACATCGTCAAGATGAAGGGCAGTGTCACCACCGAGTCTCTGCACAACTCTATCCAAGCTATCTCCAGCGACGCCGACTTTGTATACAACAACAATGATTTCAAGGGCTTTGCTTCCAGCCTGTCGGCGGAAGAGCTCGAGGCTCTACGAAACAATGACAATGTAAGCTAAACACGGCGGAGAGCTTTCCATGTTTGATTACATTCTAACCATTTCTCTCCAGGTCGACTATATCGAGCAGGATGCTGTCGTCACCATCAAGGCAACGCAGGAGAATGCCGATTGGGGTCTTGCGCGCCTGTCCAACTCCAAGCCTGGCAGCACCACATACACCTACGACGATTCAGCTGGCGAAGGAACTTGTGCCTACGTCATTGACACTGGTATCGAAGTAGACCATGAGGCATGTGATGGCTGCATTCCCACCCTGTTAGCCAAGAACGGTAGACTAACCTTATACAGGAGTTCGAGGGCCGTGCCAAGTGGCTCGCTAATTACGCTGGTGACGGCGATGACACCGATGGCAATGGGCACGGCACGCACGTATCTGGTACCATCGGTTCCAAGACATACGGAGTCGCTAAGAAGACCAATCTTTTTGCGGTCAAGGTCCTTGACGCTAGTGGTTCCGGTACTAAGTATGACGTCTCTCTTCTCTCTTTGTCTCTTGTCTCTTCTGTGGCATACCCGGCATACCTAGGACCTAGGTTCTATGTCACTGAGCATATATATGGAAAGACAAATTTGACTAACTGAAACCGCAGCTCTGGTGTTATTGCTGGCATGGATTTCGTAGCACAGGATGCTGCAAGCCAGGATTGCCCCAAGGGTGTTGTTGTGAACATGTCGCTCGGAGGATCTACTTCTAGCGCGGTGAATGATGCAGCTGCCAGCATAGTGAACGCTGGTCTTTTCCTTGCCGTCGCGGCGGGTAATGAGGCCGCGGACGCGTCGACGTCCTCTCCAGCTTCCGAGCCATCAGCTTGCACCGTCGGCGCCACCACTAAGGATGACGAATTTGCTGAATACTCCAACTACGGCAGCCTTGTCGATGTCCTCGCGCCAGGGACCGATATTGAGTCGACATGGATCGGTGGAACGACGAACACCATCTCCGGCACTTCCATGGCCTCTCCCCATATTGCCGGTCTCGGTGCTTACTTCCTGGGACTCGATGCTTCGCCGGTGGCTGACTTGTGCGACTACATCGCCAAAACTGCCCTCTCCGGCGCCATCTCCGGAGTCCCTAGCGGTACTGCTAACTCGTTGGCCAACAATGGCCAGTCGTCTTAGAGCAGAGACCTTGGTGATGATGACGATGATGACGGCGACATGAGTAATCAGATGGTCGGGAGGTGTTTAGTGGAACTTTATAGGTAGTTGAACTGGTTTAATCATGTGGAATAGGGAATAGCTTGAGAGGTCGTGTATATAGTCGAGTATATTTTATTTTATCGTCAGTAACCGGATTACCTACCTCACTAATTAGCCCTGCGATCAGATTATCTGACTGTTCTTCACCCATGTCTCTACCTCTCTCACGACAACTCATTGTAAAGATCGATTAGTTAACTAGTGAGAGACCGCATTCGTATTACGGGAAACTTTGGTGTGCTTTGAAGGTAGTGACATAGTGGTCGTACTTCTACCACAGGACATCTGCTGCCTTTGTTACTACTACTCTAAGCATCCCAGCGCTCCTCTGACGACATAATCTTGAATCTAGTTAGCTAGGTTAAGTACTAGGTAGCCACACACACACACACACACACACACACACACACACACACATGCATATATATATATATATATATATATATATCTCGACAGATCTCTTGCAATTGAACTTTCCATTTTCTGCTTTTCACTTTGTACTTCAATTCGTCTCACCTTGGATAGGGATGGTCTCTGTTAAGACAAGATTGTTTAAAATACCAACTGTACTCACTGGGCGGTACCTAAGAGTTAAGTAAAATGCACAGCCTATACGAGCTATATTCCATAGGAGCAGAGCCGCATAGAGGTTAGTGAATATAGAAGTTCAATTACGTATATATTAACATATTAGATGTGACTAGTACAATGAGCTACTAATAATGAGCCACTAAACAGAAGCTTACGTAAAGTTATGCTATGCGCTGGTACTTAATCAATGTTAAATCCGAAAATTTTCATCCAGATCGTAGATCAAATTTGTGGGTGGCTTCGTATAGTGGTTAGTACAACACGTTGTGGTTATCCAATAATAACTAAACGTTTCCGTGTAAACCTGGGTTCGATTCCCAGAGCCGCCATATACTTTTATTTTATGTTTTATTTTTTACATAAAAAAAATTCATGATACTTAGTAGTTGAGTGCATATACGTATGTGTATATATGAGATATTTTATTGTTTGTCCTTGTCTTGTTTTTTTTTTAAATCTAATGAATCTGGTAGTTTTCCTAAAGAAAGAAAAAAAACTAAAAAAAAAGCGAGCTGCTATCTACGTCATAAAGAAACCTAACGCAAAATTCGTATTAATAGCTGTATTGATTTCTTTACATCCACTTGAAAATTGCACTAAGGATGCCTGTTTCTGCTTCGAAGGTTGTCGCTACTTCTCTTACTCGAAGAGCTCGGGGGGAACCGAGAGACAATATCATATAAAACATTAAATGTTCACCGGGCATCTTTCAGGTGCAGGCTACTTCTAGTACAATAGCTACAATAGCTATCCGATCATCCCGACCTGCCTGACCTGCCCGACCTAGCAATCTAGCGTAGGCGAAAACCTTAAGCCTATCTAGGTAGGTAAGTAAGTAAGTAGGTAGGTAAGGTCGATAGTTGCAGATATTTCATTTACCGCAGAATATGGGATAGTATGATAATCGGCTTATTACTTGATTTCGATCTTTGTCTCTCGAAGCTTTAGCTTGCTGCCACGCGCAGCAGCTCGCAAATCCTTCTTCCGTTCTACCTGGACTCTGGGGTCGCCCCGATATTGAATTGTCACATGTGCTACTGTGCTGATTTCCGGCAGTTTGACGTCAAGTCGAGTGTTCAAAGCTAATTTTCTTCAAGCAGTATTTGCATAGAGGGGCTCTTTCTGGCGCACCAAGGCCAATTCCAACAATATCACTACTACCTGTGTCTTACCTAATAGTACTTACCGAGTAGTAGTTCCTACTACTACTACTACTAAAAAAAAAAAAAAGGCCAGGGTGAGGCAACATAAAGCCCTCGTTAAGGCATTATCTAGACTCTAGAGGAAGGACTACAAGGTGCTAGCTATTCTGCAGGATCGTTCGTATATATGTACATGGTAAAATCAAGGCACAATCTAGAACCGTTGGCTTGGATGTGTGGGTGTAGATAGCAAAGCGACCTTCCGAAAACGTCTTAAGCTAAAGATTGCGCGGATATGAGGAGAACAAACGATAGCTGACATTTAGGTATGTATACTACCTTGCATCTTATCATAGGTAGGTACGCGATGAATGCAATTTCCGACCTGGCGTGACCAATGACTCCAATTGGATATAGGAATGCGGGTGGACCGAAGAACTCGACCTGTCGGGCTGTTGATCCTTGCTCCCGGTCAGCTTACAGAAAGAACATGCATGGTATGGGATGCATTGGATTGGTGGATGGATGTATTGTTATGTAGGTACGAGATAGCGTGCTCTGCTGAGTCTGCTCTGCATGTTACCGCACTTTATTACTATAAAGTCTCACCAGCACCGTTCTAGAGATTTCCCTCCCCAGGATCCAGCCGCAGCTGTTCTTTCGCCCGTCTCTTTCCGGTTCCTACCTGGCTTTACAGTGATTGCAACCATGGTCGGCTTCACCATCGTTTTCTCGGCCCTTCTCGCCGTTCAGGGTGCATTGGCGAGCCCCGTGGGGTCGCGTACGCCGTATCGTGTCAAGGATTCGCATCACGTTCCTAGAGCTTGGAGGCGAGTTCGTCGCGCGCCTGCCGACCACATGATTGATCTCCAGATCGGTGTCAAGCAGAGTAACTTCGCGGAGCTGGAAAGACATCTATATGAAGGTATGAGGAGTAGCGACGCCTATATGTAACATGTCGCATTTAAGAAGTGAGAGCTAGGCGCCTAATGGAAGTCTAGTTTCGGATCCGGATCACCCACGCTACGGCCAGCATCTTAGTGCGAGCGATGTCAAGGAGTTGGTCAAGCCGACGGATGAGACGTTGGACCTCGTCCATGAGTGGTTAGAAGACAATGGCATCACCCCTTCGGGATACAGCTCAGCCAAAGACTGGATCATGGTATCTCTTCCGGTCGGAATGGTTGAACGACTTCTAGATACCGAGTATCATCTTTACGAACACAAGGACGGTGGTTTGGTCGCCCGAGCCCCCAAGTGGTCTCTCCCCCTTCACTTGCATGATCGGATCGACACAATCCAGCCCACCAACTCATTCTTCCGTGCTCGTGCTGAAAAGTTCGACCATATCGAAGCTCCCGTGTATCTTGATCCCAAATACACGCCCCCCACTAACGAGACTCTCAACGCGGTCTGCAACGTCAGCTCCGTCACGCCCGAATGCTTCCAGACTCTTTATTCGACCAAGGGGTACAAAACCCACGCATGCGGTAAGAACAAGATCGGCTTCAACAATTATCTCGGGGAACATCCGATCCGGACAGACGCAGAACTGTTCCTCGCCAAATATCGACCCGAGGCAGTCTCGAGCGCCAAGGATTTCCCCCAGATCTCCATTGCAGATGGACCTGGTGACTACGCCCTAACCCCCGAGGAAATTGAGTCGGGAGTTTCGAAGGAAGCAAATCTAGACATCCAGGCCATTGCCGGTATAAGTTGGAAGAGTACGTACCCCGGATTCTGGAGCACCTCGTTCCCAAGCTTGTAGAGGTCTGAATAAAGGCGTCCATGACCGGGCTCCGACTAACCTCTGTTTGCTGCGCAGCTCCGATCATTAGCTACTCAACCGGTGGCAGCCCGCCTTTCATCCCTTCTACGAGCACGCCCGACAATACAAACGAGCCTTATCTAGTCTGGGTAAACTATCTGCTCGGCTTGGATTCTTTCCCGCAAGTGATTAGGTACGTTCGAAAGTATCTTCTATAAATTATCGATAGTTGAGTTTTGAATGGATGCTGACTGGTACGACTACTGTAGTATGTGAAATCTTGACCGTGTTTATCTGTATTTGTCATGAGAAGCAGAATTGTGCTTCCATGAGTTTTTTTTTTCGAAGGGTTTCATGCAAGTCACTGACCTGGTTGCTATAGCGACGTCATATGCCGACGATGAGCAGACAGTCCCGGAGTCGTATGCTCGCCGAGTCTGCCAGCAATTTGCCCAGGTAGGTGCGCGTGGTACCTCGTTGCTCTTCTCGAGCGGAGATAGCGGCGTCGGACCGTACGGAGAGTGCATCAGCAACGACGGGAAGAACACGACTCAATTCCTGCCTGAATTTCCACCGAGCTGCCCTTACGTGACGGCAGTGGGCGCCACGAAGAATTTTGAGCCAGAGGTGGTGGCGTATCGCCCTGCGTTTGTGGGACCTGATGGAGTCGCCCACGGTAACTATACAAGTGGTGGCGGGTTTAGCAATTATTTCGCGGCGCCCGCGTACCAGGCTCTGCACGCGAGTCGCTACGTCGAGGGACTAGGTGGCCTGTATGATGGTCTATACAACAAGACGGGCCGTGGCTACCCGGATATCTCGGCCCAGGGGCTCTACTTTGCTTATTTCTGGAATGGCACGGAGGGCACCATCAGCGGAACGAGTGCCAGCTGCCCGCTGACAGGCGGAATCATCTCGTTGGTGAACGACGCGCTCATTTCATCCGGAAAACCAGCGCTGGGGTTCCTAAACCCGTGGCTGTACTCGAAAGGCTACAAGGGCCTTACCGATATCACACAGGGTAGCGCCGTCGGGTGTGGTGTAGACGGATTCCCAGCAAAGGAGGGATGGGATCCTGTTACCGGTCTAGGCACGCCCATCTTCCCCGAGCTTGTCGCATTGGCCGGCGGGAAGCTGTTTTATTAAAGAGGGAGATTTCTCCGATTCATGACATAACCATAACTTACGAGGATGTAGTGATAATTTAATTTAGGCATATGTCACATTGCCTGCGAATGTATAGTGGTCCATGAATTGGTCTCATTTTATTTTTTGGAGGAAGGAAAGGAAAGATAGGTAATTGTAGTAACCGGCCTACGATCTGCAAGTGACTCGTAGATTATATAAGCTTTATCTCTCACCTAAATGCATGTGTTATTTAAAGTCTTAGGTCCTAGTACAGTACTACCTAGGTCCTAGGTTACTTCCTAGGTACGTACCTAGCTGCCTAGTAGGTATGTATTAATAGAAGTTTCGGTCCCCACTGCGGATAGACAGACCATCAATTATGTCATCGCCCTCCTCGATCTTCTCTTCTCGATCTTTCAACAACAACACCGCAACGAGGCTATTTCGGAACGACTGCTAAGCTCGACACACCCGCTACCTACTCAAGGCTATATATCGCGCAGGCCCAGTTTATAACTCCTTCGTCGGCATTTTCTGCCTCTCTTCTACCCTCGCGTCAGGCCTGCACCTACTTACTTACTTACTTACTTAATCAATCAATCATGGGATCTATCGTTATACCACATCTGAATACCGGCTGGCATGTCGACCAAGCTATTCTGTCAGAAACAGAGCGTGTTGTTGGTGAGTGAAGCATATGGTCTAAGCATATATTCTGGGTGGTGGGATGCTTTATTTATCAATAGATAATTATAATTACGTGGACACTAACCAGATATGTTTCTTTTTTTCTCACTATAGCTATTCGATTTGGTCGCGACCATGATCCCGAGTGCATGCGACAAGATGAGGTACTCTACCGCATCGCCGATAAAGTCAAAAACTTCTGCGTTATCTACGTCTGCGACGTCGACCAAGTTCCCGACTTCAACCAGATGTACGGTAAGCAACAAACCCTCGATCGTCTTCCCCTTCCCCCTTCCCCCTTCCCTACGCCTTTAATTGTCGGCTATAATGAGATGCTAATGAGGGTAATCTTACGCCAGAGTTGTATGACCCTTGCACCATTATGTTTTTCTACCGAAACAAGCACATGCTGTGCGATTTAGGCACGGGAAACAACAACAAGCTCAATTTCGTGCTGGAGGACAAGCAAGAGTTAATCGATATCATCGAGACGGTCTACAAGGGTGCTAAGAAGGGTCGTGGTCTGGTCGTCAGTCCCAAGGATTATTCCACTCGTTATCGATACTAATGACAAAGCCTGTGACGATTCTACCCGTCCCGCGTG